GCAAGAGAGAAGGCACATACACCTAGTTTATTCCCCTTTTTTTGCTGGGATTGACTCTCATCCTGGCACTAATGCAGACAGTATCAAAGAGAAGCAAGAATATGAAGGGGACCATAGAATCATAGAATCAACTGTGTTGGAAGAAACCTCAAAGATCATAGAGTCCTAGGGCCAGATTTGGGACCTGGTTCCTCCAATGCAGACTAGATCAACATGTACTGGAATATTTTAGACTTCACTGTCCCTTGGAAGGTGGAGCTAAAGATCCTTGTCATCTTTCTACCCTGGGCATCTGCTGCCATCTACTTCTGTAGATGTGCTATTGCAGCAGAAGACCCCTTGGTCCGACCAGTGACGGTTATTTTTATGATCACATTTTTGTTCCTTCAAGTGTCAGTAGAATACCGCTAAGAGGATGCCTTCCTTGATTCTCCTACTTGATTCTGGTGTGACTTGACTGGCCCAAGAGCAAGTGCTGTGTTTATTCACCTGGTGCCAATGAACAGGCAGCAGACACTCTACACACATCTACTCTGTAAATAAAAGTGGGAAAAGCAGGATCCCCATCCCCTCAGGGTCCCCATTCTTCCCTGTCAAGAGCTACCATGCTCATCCAAGCAACCACGGGGAGGTAACTTGCTGAAAGAAGGAAAAGAGGACCTGTGGAGAAAGAAACCCTGGGGCAGCTGAAAGGCTGAGGGGGCACAGGTTTGTTGTTACTACCAGTGAAACAGGCACAAGCAAACAGTAACTGCCATAAGTCTATAGTCCTTCATGACTGCAGGCACCACCAGCTTTGCTTTGGATGGGAAATTCATCCATCATCTGGGATGGAAATGAACACAGCCAGGCACAGATGCTATATGTAGGAGGATCTGTGTTTTATTTAGAATCAAGACACAGAGGTACAAGCAAGGAACTGTCCCACCACAGCTTAGCTTTTGTTGAGGGTGAAGGCAACGTGGGTTTACTCCGTGGCCAGGGTGGGCTGTGAGGACAGGTATAGTTAGTGTAGTTGATAGCTGACAAGTACTGACTGATTCAGCTGCAGTGATGTCACCAACTGTCCACACCTTTGCTTCTCTACTTACCTGCTCTCAAAGTATCATGACCTCGGCGAGGAAAAACCCCAAGGTGCCCATGGGGGCATGTATTACACTCCAATACACCGAATAATCACTGTCCTGTGGAGACAGCTGCGAGTGCTGGGGTGGGATAGGGAGAGGACACAGCTATATTGCAAGGAAAGAGGCTCTTCAAGAAGTCCTGGGACATGGTAAGATCACCTGCACTGTGCTCTGATCCTTGTCCAGTTGCCACAGCCTTCTGCTTTTTTTTTATTTTGGCAAAGAAGTAATCCTGCAGAGAGGGCTCTCTGAAGAGCCCCCCCAACTCCTTTGCTACCAGCAACAATCCAGCCCAGGGCTCCTATTGCTCCTACACTGAGATATTAATGATGCCATCAGCCCTGCAAGCTCACTAGCACTCTTGAGTTGTTTAGATCAATATAAGCAGAGCACACAAAACAATGAAAAAGAGCTGCGTTTGGATGGTTTGGTGTTTCCCAGGAGTGCCAACAACAATGTCCCAGAGTCCCTCTCAGAGAGTGCCAGGAAAGGTCAGACAGTCCTTCATCAGTGCCCATCAATTCTCTCCTAACTGGAGGGAACTCATCCTAATTAATTGTCCTAGAGGACCATCAAGCTAATCAACTTGCTATTAATATGGGCTTAGAATGATCCTGTGATCATTGATTAGAGGCAGCTTGTCAGCCAGAGCTGGTAGCAACAGCTTCCAGCTGGCTGGTTCTGAGACTTGCATTTACTGTCAGTGGTGGCAGGAGATACTGGTCCCCATCATCTTTCTCCGTTCCTTCCCTTGGGGACAGCACTGAGAACACCATTCACCACTGAAGGTAGCAAAAACTTTTATCCAGAGCAGGATCCAGGAACAAGAACTGGTTTTGTTTATACACTGACCCAAGGGGAGCCAAGAGGAGTCTGATTTCCAGAGATTCTCCATGCTGGAGAGCATGCCATGGACCACCCACTCCAGGACTCCACCGAGTCCTGGACACAACTTAGTTGCATGACACTGGGGTGGTGGAGACCGCATCTCATTCACCCAAATGTGCTGCTTTTTGCTTAGGGACTCACAAAATCTGGATCTGCAACACAATTTACTGGGACAAATTTACAGTGAAAGGGCTCAGAGACAGGTAAATTGGGAACCGAGAAATACCAGGTTTGTTTCCTTAAGCTGGTTTAGGGCTTTTCTCAAATTTCTTAAAGAGTGGCTAATAAAGAGAAAAGGAACCTGTGACTGGAAAAATACCCCTGAATAGAAGAAAGAATAGGTAGGTGCCAAGTTCTGCAAGTCTTTTGCTGGGAACATGCCAGCTCAGGATGAGGAGGGAGGCACCTAGCTGTACCAATCTTCTGAACCATGTTACAAACTGGGATGAAATTCCTCTGAGAGATGGGACAGGGTGGTGCATCTAAAAGTCTTTACGGGATAGTGAAATGGCATAGGGAGAATTTCAGTGACTAGTAAAAAGAGGGTCATTTTCCCTGCAAAAGAGAGAGATCACATTGCCTCCCTCACCTCCCACCTGCGCCCTGAAGGAAACAAGGATCCACTTGAGAATCATTTCCCCTCCTCTGCCCAGCTTCACACGCTTCCCCAAACCACACAAAACTGCTCAACACTCCATGAAGCCTTTCACAGCAAGACAAAAGGTAAATGTTCATTTTACAGGAGACAAAAGGGGGCTCAAAAACACCAGCAGTGAGTTGAAATTTGGTGAGTGCTGCCTCATTGCATGCAGGATTAGAGCAGTTTCCAAAAAGAGCATGAAGAAAACACACAAAGCCTCAGTCCTTAAGGGGAACCCCATTGACGAGGTTTTTATTCACTGTGGTACATCAACACCCAGCAAGGTACCTGCACCAAGAACACTACCCCAGCAACATAGCAATGGCATATTGTGAGACCTGCCATGCAAAAACCCCTTTGGATGTTGCCAGTGATTCCTGTTACTTGGTCTAAAGCGCTTTGTAGTCAGGAGCTCTGCTCTGGGATGTACAAGAAGGGGTCTCCTACGGGAAAGTCTGCCAGGACCCTAAAAGTGGGTTTGGCCAATGGTGGGTCCACACTGTGGCCAAGCAGGGACACATCCACTTTTCTTTCTACTCACTGAGTTCAGTGTTTCTTGGGGTCCAGACAAAGACATCAACTTCTCCGGCAATGCCCATGGCATGGCTGTATGATTTGATGGTTGCTGAGCTTTGGTTGTGGGCAAGACACAAAGCTCCCACCATCTTTCCAGACAATAGCTGATCTTCCTGCTTTCCTTCCCCTCTCTGCTTGTTATAGCTTGTGCATATTATTTTATACACTACTGTTGAGCTGGGCAAAGCATGGAGTCCACATCTTTGGAGGCTTTGAAGAAGAGGTTGGACTCTTTTGGGGCTGATCCACACAAGTCATTAAGCCATGGGTGCAAAGTCACCTTGTCCTGGCTTTCCCATCACTGCTCTCTCCTTACTCATCTTGGGAAAATCTCAGGCCTCATCTTGAGGAGTTCTCATCCACCTTTGAGTGCAAACTGAACAAAGGACCAATTGTAATAATACTTGACTCTTCGAAAGTACTTTTCTACCTTGGGTCTCAAGAAACTTCATTGAAGTACCATTCACTTTTTCGTGTAGGAAAAGGGAATATCCAAAGTTAGTAGTTTACTCACAGTCATGGGACAAGCCAGGCACAAAACACACTTCTGCTCCAAGGCTTACAAACGTACCACTCCCTTCTCTGCTCCCACAGCCACCCAGACACCATTCCCTGCATTGTAGTTGGAGATACTGTTTCTCAGGGACAGCAGCAGCAGGTTCCTGCTCTGTGGTTTGCAAAGTGCTCTCCATTCTCATAGCTCTCTATAGACTCTTCAGGATAAATATATTCACAGGTGCAACAATGCACAAATTTGCTTTGTTGTGGGGGACTCACTGCTGGCTCAGGCCCACAGCCTGCTCTGAGTTGCTGGCTTTGCACACACATGCATGCCTGCTCCAACCCATCTCAGGACCGACAAACTCCAGGTGGCACAAGGTGAGCAACGTGCTGAAGTACCCCTCCCCACAGGGATCTCCAGCAAAGTGGTCAGGAAAAGGCTGGTTGAACCTCTCAGTTTGTCCAGTGGGTTTGCAATCTGCAGAACACAGCATGTCCAGATGTACTTCAGCTTCACAGCAAGGAGGATTCTCCATGGTCTTCAGAGACACCAAGCAGTCAAGAGCCACAGGAGGAGTCACCACAGCCTGCAAGCATTCAGCATCTTTGCAAGGAGAACTCCATCGCAAACAAGCCTTTCCTTTTTAAGGGCTAGGATGGAAACTGTAAGGAAAGGATCTCTCCAGGGGTGTCTCCTGTTTCTAGTATGGTAAATACTTTTTTTTCATCAGGTTTTTGGTATGCAGTTGCTACAGTTAGAGGGCTTAGGGCAGCCTCATATTTCCAAGACAGCAAGAACCTGTGCCAGTCAGACCTGGTGAATCCCTTATGAATTCACAAGCACACAGTCTTACACTCTAGGCAAATGCAGCAACAAGCTCATGGCTCCCTCTTCCCCATCATTCAGAGGACAGCACATACGGGGAACACTCTGCAGGGCTGAGGGGCTCCAGAAGCACTGAGCTGTTGTCCACTTTATCATGATGCCGTCCCTCACAAAAAAAAAGATATGTATAAAAACTGAACAAAGAACTTAACTGAGAGAGGAGCACAGCTGGAGCAAGAAGGGCTGAGCAAGAGAGGTTCATGCTTTAAAAACAATGGAGGCCTTCAGCTGAGCTGGTTCGAGACTGTCGGTGAAAGCAAGGAGGAAATACATCACCTTGCGGATCTGGGCTAACTCTGCTATCCGCTCCCCAAATTCCTGGGCATCTGCCTCATTGCACTCCACCTCCTGGGCCCCTGGCTTCTTCCAGAAGATGCCCACTGGCTCCAGCAACTGTCGGTTCATAAGTGGGGTGAGATCAGGAGTCCAGTGCTGGGAGGTGCCGGTCACCGTGACCTTCCCAGGTCTCTCCAGCTGGATGTCCCAATGGAGGAAGCGCAGTTTGTGCTGCTGGATGAAATCCACTCTGTAGATGTGCTCATTGGGACACAGCAGCTTCTCGCCATCCTGAGGCCTCATATTTTTTTGCTGCAGGCTCTGGCAGCGCAGCCGCATGCACCGTGTGAGCTGTTCGTCGCGGATGAAGGGCAGCTCGAGCATCCCTGCCGCAGCTGCCATCACCTTGGCTGATCCTCTGCTATGTTCTCAGCAGTGTGTGGCTCTCAAACAGCACGTGGCAGGGGAAATCTGACAAGCCCCTGGAGGTGGTGCCTGCCCTCCACAGTCCCAGCAGTGCTAGGCAACCCAGGCCAGTGACGCAAAACACCCTCTGGGGCTTCCCTCTGGATGCCCTCCTGACTCGTTTGCTGATTTGGAACTGATGGTGCTGCTCTGCATGATAATCTATAGGGAAGGGATGTCTGATGTCAGCCTCCTTGGCAACCTCCCTGACAACCACAGCTTGTTAATCCAAAACGAAGGTGTGCAGCCAGGGATGCCACCTTGAAAGGTCTGAGTAAACTCTGTCCTGCTCATCTTTGAGTGTGGGCAGAGGTCCTACAGCCTCTCTGGGCCCCTCTTGCAGTGATGACTGTGCTCATGCTGAAAATAAGCAGCAGCTTGTCCTGTTGTCTTCTGTCTTCTGACTGTGCATCCCCAGCAAGAGCCTAACTCTGTCTTGTTACACTCTCCTATCCAGGCTGGATGGGGCTCTGAGCAACCTGGTCTAGTGGCAGGTGTCCCTGCCCATAGCAGGCAGGTTGGAACTACTTGATCTTGAAGGTCCTTTCCAACTCAAACCTTTCTATGATTCTGTGATTAAGTAGTTGTACACAGCAATAAGCTTCCCTTTCACGTTCCCTCCTCCTGGGACAAATCCACTTCCCTTGAGACTATTTTGGTGGTCTCCATCAGGCTGTGCCATCCAGAAAAGGACATGAGGGTCCTAAGAATCCCTTTTTTTGTTGAGCAATACCAAGGCAACCTATAGGAGCACAGGTAAAGATTCAGACAATCCTTCAGGACAAAGTGCTGCTGGAAATTATTTAAATACCCCCATTTTGAGGTCTTAATTTCTTTCCATAAGAGCTAGACAACTGTGAAGAGTCACAGAAAGGGTGTTATAGAGCCAAATTACACCTAAAGCCATGTAGGGTCAACCAAGGCTCAGGAATTTGGAAAACAGCTCTCAACTAAATTCCAGTACCCCATTCCCATTCAGTGACTCTAACCACATAGGCTTATAAGGGGAAGGAGAGAAACAGAGAGAGCAAGGTGGAAAAAAGTGTGTGAATAAAATCATCTCCTGGGATACACAGAGATGTGCTGGTCCACCCTATTCCCTTGAAGATATTTCCCCTATCCACATCTGAGAAATACAGTTTTACTGTGTGGAGTGGAGTATGGAACACGTAGAGCCTCTGTTACATCCTGGTGTAAATCAGGAATACATTTTCTAGCAGTAGTGGGACACCCCGGCCAAAACCCCTGTACTGACATTTCAGAGCTACTAACGCCTGTATCAACATCTTTCAGCTCTTCCCAGACCCTGAATAGAGACATTGGGCCCATTTCCCTAGTTCCCATGGTGTCACCTCTCTTTGGCTGTTCAGTGTGTGCCCACCTTGGCAATGAGGCACCTCATGCTGGGGCAGGTTGTCCTGCAGTGTTGTCCTGCAGTGTTACCAAAATCGCATGTTCTCAGGATCAAGGGGCCCATTATTTCTGTCTCTGAGATCTTCAACAAGGAAGAAATTCTTTACTCGGAGAGTGATGAGACACTGGAACAGGTTGCCCAGAGAAGCTGTGGCTGTTCCACCCCTGGAAGTGCTCAAGACCAGGTTGCATGGGGCTTTAGGCAACCTGGTCTGGTGGAAGGTGTCCCTGCCCATGGCAGGACGGCTGGAAGTAAATGGTCATTAAGGTCCCTTCCAACCCAAATCATATGTTTCTATGATTCTATAAAACAGATCTTTCTGAAAGAAAAGAAGAAGCAGGTAAAAAAGAGCCTCTGAGAATTAAGGGCATGGAAAATGAGAAGTCACAAACAGCCAAATTGCCAAGGGAGGAAAAGCAATGCCATTGGCAAACTGAAATAATGAAGTGTCCAAAAGGATCCAGGCTCTGTTTGGCTGCCATTTCCCAGGGCAGTACTGGACGTGAATGGTGACGAGGGAAGACAACTTGCCTGCTCACTCTTGGGAGATGTCGACACAGGAGAATCTAAAGGAGGAAGCTAACGGAAACTAAACAACCCTGTGCACTACCCCTGTAAATGAGAGCCACAACAGTCACCACAGCCACCATAGGGGGGAGCCTTACTGCTTATTCAGAAGCCAACAACTGCTATCCTGTTCCCACATAAAGAAAATCCTTGATATTAACACGAAATAGGTATGCTGCAAGAAATTCCTGAGCTTGACATTCATAAGCACCATAGGAAGCAGAGACTGGAAGTACCAGAGCACACAGGGCAGGTGCAAAGGTGTGGGGTGGAGGGAACCCACTCAGGCCCATGGCAGTGGGTGAAGCAGGTGGTGCTGTCTGTACACACTGGCCGCCTTTTGCAGTAAAATGTAGGAAAAGGTGCTTGCAACTTGCTGGTCTCTTGTCCCACAATGACACACACCTGTACCAGCATCTAAAGTCCCCCTGCCTTGCTTTCACAGGGCTGACATCCTCTGTAGCTGAGGCCATGGTGGAGATGGGTGCAGACTGTCCAAGAATATGACACTAAGTACCTCCTTCACCCTGTACCTCTCTGGCTGCTCCCCAGGTCTTCAGCCCCTCACTCTGGCACAGCTTCTTGGTGGCACAGCATCCTTGGCATGTCCCATGGCTTCGTGGGACATGCCAAGGATGGATGCTTTGGGGAAGCAGTGACTTGGGAGAGATAATAACACCATGAAATCAATCTACCTGCCCCAGCATGAGGTGCCTCATTGCCAAGGTGGGCACACAGTGAATAGCCAAAGAGAGGTGACACCATGGGAACTAGGGAAATGGGCCCAAATGCTCCAACTGAGCATCCTGAGTTTCGTTCTTTTTCTTGTCTTTTACATTATTTTGGGATTGTAAGGGTCAGATTTGGGATCTGGAAGACAGGATGGTATTTGATCCACTTGGTTAAGGAGAAACTGGCCAACATGATGTGACTACAGCCCTGATGAATAATTCCTATTAAAAGACAGTCCTTTCAGGAAGGTTTTTGCACATTAACAGCTTTTCAGGACCTGAGATGTCTCTGACAACCAGTTTTTGAGCTGGACGAACACGACGCAAAGCCAAGCTTTTGAAGACAGGCTCTCCCCTGGCAAGGGGAACCACTTACCTTCTGCCACAGAGACTCCCGGGATGCCAGGGAGGAGCAGGCAGCCACAAACCAGCAGTTCCCAACCTGGCCCTGGTGTAAGTCATGGGAGCTGATCCCATCCACAAAGAGACGTGGATCATTGCAGATTTCCTGTGAGACAGGAGGAAAAAAGACACGCTGGGTAAATTGAGCAGACGGGAATCAGGATCAAGGCTTTTTGAAATAGGAAAATCACTTTCTCTCTTCCTCGAGCTCCATGTAAACCCAATCTGCCGTGTTCTGCTGGCCTCACCAATTACACTGGTGGCAGAAGGACCCCATCCTGCCATCTGCTCCCACCAGGACATGGACAACACCACCACTGAGCTCCATGTAAACCCAATCTGCAGTTTTCTGCTGGCCTCACCAATTACACTGGTGGCAGAAGGACCCCGTCCTGCCATCTGCTCTCACCAGGACACGGACAACACCACTACCCAAGTGACACCAGAACTACTCCCTCATCCTGCCATCTGCTCCCACCAGGACATGGACAACACCACCACCCAAGTGACACCAGAACTACTCCCTATTCTGTTTCAGCATTGGCACAGCTTTGCTATAATGATCCCTGGTGATAATAGCATGTTTTTACACCACAACAGCCCTAGAGACCCATCCCCTATTCTAAGTCTCCTCTTTCAGATCTCTCTACTTTGTGACTGCTTTAAAAGCTTCTACCTCTCTTATTTTGCTCTGGAGGGCACGAGACCATCACCCAAATCCACTCTCTCTGATACCAAAACTTGTGGATCCATACAAATACAAAACCCTGGAGGAGCAGGGCAGAGCCAGACATTTAATGAGGAATCACAGTGCCTAAATCAGACAGTTCCCCTAGGAAAGCTCAACTCAGACTGAGGTCTCAGCCATGGTTGCAAAAAGACAAGTGTCCTCAACCCGGAGGTCTGTCCTTCCAGATCCTAGCACAGCAGAGGAAAAAAATCAGTGAGCCAAAAGCTTTGCAGCTGGGCCAGGAGGATGAAAAGCTTATTCTGTCACCAAAACCAGAATGGTGGATTGTACACAGGCACCATGAATGGAGAAACTTGTGTAGGAAGCAGCTAAGAGGTGAACTCATCCCTCCAAGCACTCAGGTACCAAGCACATCAGCTTTCCTCTGCCCAGCTCCTGCCAGGCTGCCCTCCCTGCTTCCCACTCCCACTTCCACAGCCTGGCCAAGAAAGCACTTAAATAACAGAGGGTGTTGAGCAAGCTTCAGGTGACACACTGCTCTTTTAAAAAGTTTTTTTTCTTCTGATCAATCCAGTTTGGAAGGTCATGTCCAGCTGGAGGTTGGGAGCGGATGGGACACACAAAGAGCTGAAAGAACCTTTTCCCTTTGTTATTATATTTAATTTGAAGAGGAAAAAGGAAAACTAGATTATCCTTCTTCCTCCATGTCTCTCAGTTTTTCAGGCTGGTTGCACCCAGAATAGTATGTGTGTCCCCACAGACTTTGCACTTGAAGACCTTTATTTCTTCTACCCATATAATCATAGAATGGTTTAGATTGGAAGGGACCTTAAAGATCATCTAGTTCCAACCTTCCCACTGTGGGCAGAGATGTCATCCACTAGATCAGGTTGCCCTGGGGCTCATCGCTGGAGGAAAAGGAATTGTAAGCACCTCTTGCTATTCCCACCTAGCCCAGCCAGAACCGTACACCTCAAAAATAACCTGAGCTCCATCCAGACACAAACTAGGCAGGATCAAACCCAAGGGAGAGGTCTAATCCCCTAATGCTGGCATTGCAGGAGGTTGGGATAAGCGCTAGAGGGAGGCAAACTGACACCATTCAAGGCAGGAGCCACCTGGCTTCTCAGCATTGCTGAGCGCAGACAGGGATGGGAGAAGAGCAGTGGGGTTTAGCTTCTGTTTCCTAGCACTGGGAAAGCACCCAGCAGCTGGGGATGTGTCTGTCCCGTCTGTTGGTGATGGAGATGTCTGACAGATCAGCTCTTTGTGATCCTGCTCTGGGGGGCAGAAACACCATATTTGTCCATCTGAGGACCACAACTGTCCCTTCTACCCTTGGGTGAATCTGCAGATTAAAATAAAGGAGTTGCTTAAATATTACAGAGACAGGTGAGAACATGAAAGCAAGAAAAACCTAGAAGCATACAACAGTTTGCGTTGGAAGGGGCCTTTTAAAGGCCATCTAGTTCAAGCCCAGGCAAGGAGTAGGGACATCTTCAACTAGATCAGCCCCATCCAACCTGGCCTTGAATGTTTCCCAGGGATGAAGCATCGACCAACCTGTGCCAGTGTTTCACCCCCCTCATTGTAAAAAAAGTTATTCCTTATATCTAGTCTAAATCAAATCTCCTTCATTTTCAATTTATCTCTCCTTTTAATTTAACCATTTTCATTTTAATTACTCCTTGTCCTATCGCAACTGACCCTGCCAAAAAGTTCATCCCCATCTTTCTTATAGGCCCCATTCAAGTACTGAAAGGCTGCAATAAGGTCTCCCCAGAGCCTTCTCTCCTCCAGGCTGAAAAATCTCTCAGCCTTCTGAATCCTGCTTGGAAGAAATTAGCACAGGGTAGAGGGCTGCAGATGCTCAAGGACCTTTCCTAAGGGCAGAGCTGCCAGCTAGCTGTGATTTCCCCATCACCAGAGTCTGCAAATGAAAACTCTGTGGCTGTTCATTTAAATAGCAGGAAGCTCTATGTACTCATCAAAAGAGCAGCCAGCCCTGGCACAGATGAGGGGTGCAGCTCACTAGGCTCTACTGTCTTGGACTCATGGCAGCAATGAAGGTGCCATGGCTAGAAACACTCATACCAGGGCAGGCTCCCTCTACAAAACACAGGCCTCATTTGACTTCTCTTCCCACTAATGCCCCTAAGGGCACAGCACTCTTGAAGGTTTAATTCAGGCAGTTCTTCAGAGAAGCTGTGGATGCCCCATCCCTGGAAGTGTTCAAGGCCAGGCTGGATACGGCCCTGAACAATCTAGTCTAGTGGAAAATGTTTCTCATGTTTAAATGGAATTCCCTGGTTTTCAATTTGTGCTCACTCTGTACTGTCATTGGGCACTACTGAGAAGTCTGGCTCTGTCTTCTTCGTTCCCTGTCACCCAGTATTTATGGACACTGCTAAGATCCCCCTGAACCTTCTCTTCTCCAGAGTGAAGAATCATTAAAGTTGGGAAAGACCTCTAAGATCATGGAATCCAACTGTTAACTCAGCACTGCCAAGTCCATCACTAAGCCATGTTTCTAAGCAACACATCTATACTTTTTTTTAACACATCTAGGGACTATGATTCCACCACTTCCCTGAGCAGCCGATTCCAATGCTTGACCACACTTTAGTCATGAAATTTTTTGTAATATCTAATCCTTGCACAGGGGAAGGCAGCATTTCCCCTTGTTCTAATGATGCATAGTTGATTCCATCAGGATAAGACTCATCTGTTGGTCAGTCTCCTCAGCAAAACTTCCTGAGAAGGTTTGCCACATTCCTTAAGACTGGAGCTTCCCAATATTAAGTTACTTGGATTCTTCAGTCCCCACTGAAGCTGCTGAGCTTCCACTCACACATTCTGTTCTAGACTGTGTGCCCCCCAATCTGCAAGGATGACATTCCCTAAGTGCTCTGTCTATACTGAGGTGGGAGCAAAGGACCAAGGGCACTGCTTCAGCAAGGCTCCAATGCCCCCAGGACTGCATGGAGCACAGTGGGGTCCCAGTGTGTGATGCAAAGCACACTCAGAGCCATGGAGCACCATGTCCTCATGCAGAGGTGAGTGATGAACTAGGGACCATTGGGAACTAGGTCAAAAAGAGCCAAGAAAAGCCTTGAGAAAAGAGCTGAAAGTGATAAAGAGCTTGTTCTGCAGCCAGATGGAAATACAGAGCCTGGGGTTTGTATGTGCAAGGGGAGGAGAGAAGCAGAGATGCTCTGATGAGAGCAGGTGATCATCTTGGTTTCCTGCCCTCCCTCCCATGCAACAAACAGCAACCAAGTGAGCAATAACATTTACCCAGGTGGGCATTTCTCCAAGAAAGCAAACACCACGTCACCCTCTCAGTATCATGACCCTGAGAAGAGGGCAGCACACAAACATGTACACCCATTCACACCCAGGGGCATTTTGGGTTCAGGCAGGTACAACAGAACCAGCTCAAACTGTCCTGTGGCACTCGAGGCTTCAGCAAGCAGTGAATCTGTCCTGTCCTTCATCTCATCACATCCAGATCCTGGGTCCTGGCTGCTCCTAGTCTGGACACAGATAGAGAACATTAAGGAACAGGAAGGGAAAGCCAAAAGGTATATCTGCAAGGAAGCTATGACTTTGATGTGTTGCTTTTAAGTCCACCTTGGCCAAGAGAGCTACCCATGTCTCTTTACCCCTAAGGAGAATCCATCTTGGAGGATCCCAAAAATCATAGAATCATTAAGGTTGGAAAAGACATCTAAGATCATCAAGTTGAACTGTTAACCCTATACTTCCACATTCACCACTAGATCATGTTCCCAAGTGTCACATCCACATGTTTTTTGAACACTTCCAGAAATGGTTATTCCAAGAATCCTACGCACCATCAGAAATGATCTGCCCTCCCTAAACGTGTCTGCTGAAATGCTGCTGAGCTCCAGGCAATGAAATACAACTCAGAAAAAGTCTGTGTGGATGGTTCTATGGAAAGATACAGACTGATAACACAGGAAGGGTCAAAATGGTGATTCAAAGTTCTGGTGATTCATATCCTTCCTCCTGCAAGGGATGTGGGACAAAGGTGGAAATCAGAGCCAGGGCTGGGAGAGGACTCTGAGGTCTCTGTCAATGAGAGACTGATTGTAGAGGTCTGGATTATAGGAGCCCAGGCTGGGACAGTTTGCTCCCTCCAGCTTTGGGTTATCGAAGTCCATGCAGGAAAGAAAAGACAGTCAGTGCAATCATCTTGTACTTCTTTGCTTCCCACTGAAAAGCACGTGGATGTTCCCGCTGCAATCCCCTGTGGTGCACTCTCCCCCAATGCACACAATTTTCTTCCAAATGCATTTAAACCAGAATATACCTTCCTAGTCTTCTCTAGCTAGTCCAATTCCACACAGGGCAGTAATGAGCAAATCACCCTCTAACTGGCTTTATAATTG